TGCAAAACGCTGCAAAAAAAGCAGCAAAGGCATTCTTAACCATTTTCGGACAACGAGGGCCGTTTTCGAATTTTCACTTTACAAAAGATTTTTCGCAAGACAAAGCTTTCTCACAAAAATTTTAGTGAACACATGAAAGCCTGAGTTTAGGCTATTTAACACTGCGCTTCGTTGCCAGTTACGCTTTCTTAGTGCGCTGTAGCAACAAAAATAAGGCTATGATTCACACTCGCAGCACTTTGTTTGCACAAGTAGTGTCTATGAATGGCTTTTCATTAAACTTTACAGATGTCTTACAGAACGAAAATAGAATTTCTTAAAAAATAAAAACGAAACTTTACAGAGCGAAAATAAAATTTCGTTTCACATTGGAGTTTCCTTTTCGCATAAGAACTATATATGAACAAAAAGTATATGAGCGCGTAGAGAAAATAGTGTGCTATCAGTGGTACATAAAAACTTGAAATTTTCATTCTGAAGGAGGAGAAAAGTCCTCATTAATAACTAACAGAATTCTTTTTATCTAAATGTTTTTAGCGGTCTTATACGCACATATATTCAATGATGTTGAGAGATGTACAAAATTTTCACGTCAGACAAGACGCGAATCCCTATTTTACCCTTTTTGGGGCATCCTGTTTGAATAACGAATATTGGGCGCCGCTCGCTAAAGTCTATTAACAGCCGTCCGCAAAGGTCGAATAAAGAAGAGCAGTAATCGAGGCTAGAGCTACAAATGCTAGGAACACCATTCGAAGAACCCTCCGAAGCATAACCAATTAGAGCAACCCGATTCCTGCACTCCGACGCTTCTCACGAAATATCATACAAGATGAATATAGTGTTCAAAAATTTTTTGGAGCGAGCACGAGCCATTTTGGTACTTTTACAGGCGAGAGGGAAAATAGAAGTTTTACTGGTGCTGATCGAGTCACTCGACTATCAGGGAAACGGCAAGTGATGAAAGTGATACGATATATGCAATAATGTTAAGTGACAACAAGACTACGAAGCTCACGCGGGAGTTAACTTCGTTCTCCAGGTATACCAAAAACGCTTCGAAGCACTGGATTATCGAGGCTATTGTTTTGCTTTCACGTTTGCATTTACAGGCACATACCGGTGTTGAGCCCAGTTAAGCTGACAGGTAGTGGGTGTGTATAATCTGAGTGATATAAATGACGGAAAATAGGCTAAAGATGACAACTCAAAAATCTCAGGTGAGGGTATTGAATTTGGAAGGTCATAGGAGGAAAAAGGAACGATTTTCTTAATTCATGTCAAGGACTGTGCAACTTTCTCGGGAGTTTCTGAGTTAACAAACAAAAAAGAACAATGAGACATTTTCTCGAATACAATCCAATATCTAGTGGCCACGACCATTCTTTCACCTTTTCCGTTGCTTTCCATCCTCGATGCTGTATTCACAGTGTCTCCAAAGAGGCAGTATCGTGGCATAGTCAACCCCACAACACCGGCTACACAAGGACCTATAACGAAAATTTTCGTTGAACTTGAGTTTGCCTTTGCCTTCGTAGAAATAGAGCGCTGCACTGAATCATCTGTGACAACTTATAATAATTCTAATAGTTTTGTTAGAAAATGTAGATGATTAGTAGAAGGAAAAAAATTATGAAAAAGTTCAGGTTATTCTTAACTGAAAAGTTTCGTGTGTGATGTATAAAAGTACTGATTTAAAAAAAGTCCTATGTACAAATCAGTAATTTTTCACATTCAACGTGCAAAAACGCCACGTCACTTTTTTTGAAGAAGAAACTTTTGAAAGACCTGAGTTCACTCCGATTCGAAGCTGAATTCTCTCCTTTGGAAGAGTTGCAATACGAAATTCGTTGACAAATTGCATAAATGAGAGCGATAGTTCAGCGATCTCTTTTATATGATTGTGCCCATTTCTAAGTGGCAAGCCAGAAACACATAAGTAACCATCACCGATCGATTCAACCTATAAAATGCACCGCCCATTGGTTGCTTTGAATAATCTTGCAGAGAAACAAGGTCAAAAAAGGTCAACGCTTCATACCTTGTAAACACAGTGCTCTTCTATAATGGAGTCGAAGCCGCTATAGAGGTCGTTTAGAAGGCTCACAGTCTACGGAATGAAAACGCTCTCCAAGTTGTCAAGACCTATTGAACTATATTACCTGATAAGCACTACATTTCGCAGACAACTGGGTGAATTTAACCACATCGGAGAAAATTACTGTAACGCAGTCGAAGCTCTCCGATTCTACTGCTTGACCCAGCATCAGGCGATCAGCTACTTGACTAGAATGGCTTAGAATGAAAAACCTTATTTGCACGTAATCGTTGAATGCAACTGCTGAATTGTGGGCACTGTTGAGCTGTAAATGAATACACCTTGGCAACATTTTTCTCAGAAGGATGTCGGCTTTCTTCTTTTCCGCTTGTAGCTCCTTCGTTCGCTCTTCGACATCCAACTCAAGTGTATTCGCGTAGTCTTCAAGCATATTGAACATGTGGTCCATCAGATTGCTATTTTTCTCGGAGTTCGTGGCCTGAAAATGTTCAACAATAGCTCATTGCAAAAGCGTGATAGATTCACAGTTCTAAGATAAATATTACAAATTCACCTCCAAAAGTTTGCATATGGTATCTGCGCTAGGGCGGTCAGTGGGTCTCTCGTTCCAGCAATCGCGGATAAGGTGAAGCTAAAGCTGGATAGAAGATCGACACTGAATAACGACAAAAAGGCTCGATACAAATCTACCAATGCACTATTGATCTCGACATCGGTGCTGAGATCTGGACGCAGCGGTGTGTTTCCTCCTCTTTTGATCATATACACTAGCTCTGAAATACATCGTGATATCATTATACTTTAATAAAACTATGTCCATAGTCACTCATAAATTAGAATGGACATTGAACGCAGTAAGTCTGACCACCCAGGCTTTCTTCTCGTTCTTCGATATTCCACGGGGGCTTATGTGTAATCACTTCCGATGAAATTATGGCAAAGGAATAGATATCTCCTGCTTTGGAACAAATGGTAGCATCCTCAGTTGAAGCTCGAAGAAATTCAGGAGCCATCCAAAGAACTCCTTAATGCAGCAAAAAGGTTAGAGAATAGCATTATACTGTATGACAAAATACTGGTATTCACCTCTAACTTTGGAGTTCAATTATACATGTTTCAATCTAGAATAATTTTTTTATCATTGGAATAGAAGTCATCAAGCTTCAATCGATTTTTTGTTGAGAAGAAATTTTGTCCATTTAATCTACTGGCGGCAGAATTTAACATGTCTATAACACAGTGGTGTTTTTATTATTATATTGGAAGGGTGGACTTGATATTAATCATAGTTCAAGGTGAGATATAAGATCAAAAAGGCAAGAAAAATGCCATTTAATAATTATGGAAGTCTGTCAGAAATTAAAGAATAAAAATAAATATAGAGAAATATAAAGACAAAAAGTAAGACCTGCGCAAGGTCTATCGATCATTGCTTCAGTGCAAGTGGCTGCCCTACCCAGCAACACATGATTTGGCTAATGTGCAGCTTGGTCGCACATGCGATTACAGTTTAATGTACCTGCTGCATTGCAGAGAATCAGTGTTCTGAGGATGTAAGCAGAGCGTTGAAATCAGCAACAATTACGCTATCGAGCGATCACTAATAGTTCAAAGGAAGAGCTGTGCCCGACGAGAACCATGCGTGTCTGCATCGCAAAAGATCTCTTTCTATAATAACACCAAATAAGCTTTTTCAAAACCGGTGAGGTGGGGCTGTAGCCAAAAGTCTCAGTTTTTGAATGATTCTTAACATTCTTACGAAAAGTTCCTATTCATTGAATAAGGCCGATAATCATCTCTCCTCATAACCGAAAAGAACCGTGAAAATTTTTTTGCGAATAAGATTATCCACATGATTGACAAATTGCTGTATCGTCAGTAATAGGTTTACTGAGTGGCAAAAGAAGACAACCTTTTCGATTTAGCTCGCTCAGATTCCAAATTGGAAAGCGTGGGGTTGAAAGGATATGCGGCAGAATCTATGCTCTGCTATAGAAGAACGTCGATTGCAAGTATTGTAGTTTCTAACGCATTTTGCCCACTGCCAAACAATATCTATATGATGTTATTTCGCCAGGATTCGAACTACAGTAATTCTGTTTGTATGTTGGGCACAATGATCTACCGCGACATTCAGATGGAAAACGCTTTTCGTTCCGCTGTGCCACCATTGTCTAATCTTGTGCAGAACGTCATCTTACTAGCACGGAATCCGAAGTGCGTCACAATGCGTTCGAACAAACAGCTTTTTTCGCACACAAAAGAACCATTTTGAGTGGTCTATTTCAGCCAATCCTTCTACGACCAATCAGTCGTAAGTGACGAGTCATTGTATTGAAATGAGCAGTAATTGTAAGCTCGTTGAACTAGTTTCTCAAGCTTGTCGATTTATTTGTCAGTTCACCAAATGCAAGGAGGCTTAAAAAGAGAAAGGGGCTGTAAGCAAATATACTTAAGAGGCCATACAAAAGGGCCGTATGTATAAAAACTGAGTTTATTATTGTGGAAGGGCTAATGAATTCAAACAGTGATTGTTGGGAAAGTATGTTGTCATTCATACGTTTACCTTAAGTTCAATTGATTTCAAAAATGTTTTATACCCAATGTTGCAGGAATATATTATGGAATACATCTTAATATGTTTGAATAAGTATCATTATCTTCTTCCTTGACTTCAGTTGCTCAAATTCCAGAAAACGAGATGTTGTAATACTGATTTATATAATTTATTTCTACACCACTCTACATAATCATTGGGTCTATAGTAACATCATAACACCGCAAGGCGGTCAGATAAATTGATTTCGGATTGATTATTGGGACCCAATATCTGTCTACATAGGGGGCTTCAATGTCGATAATGACTACCACGCCACACCGTAGACGGTTGACTGTTGACATATAACGCGTTGTAGCGTAGAAAGAGTGGAGCGCGAAACGAGCGTCGGTGGTGCAACGGTTAGCACATACTCTCGGAAAGAGTAGGATCTGGGTTTAAATCCCGGCTGACGCAAGCGTTTTTGCACACCACTCTACTTCATCATTGGGTCTATAATTTATTTATTTATGAGTTGATAATTTCAAAAGAGTTGGATAAAAATTTAAATTTCTTAAACCGAGTTTTGATCTTAATTTGTTCTTTCTGTCTAGAATTAGATTGATGTTGTATGTTTTCGTTGGAAGGTTTTACATTTTTGTAATACAGATGAGTAAGAATGTCTATTTTTGGGTAAATGGATTCTGTTACAATTTTATGAAGTAGGATTTAACCTTTCTAGTTTAATAAAAATATGACTTTGAAGAGGTTAAGATGTAGAAGGATGGTGTCAAAAGATTATGATATAGACAGGTTTTTCAGATCTTTGGTGAATACTTTACCCAGTAGGAAAACTTTAACCTTGGTTTGGCATTTTCGAACAATGTTGGGAATAATTTTAGGATTTCAAATTTTCTCTGATCTATTTCTAGCATGTTATTATGTGGCTGATGATGGGTATGCTTTTGGTTCTGTGCAGTATATGGTTTTTGTATTGGTATTGTGGAAGAAACTTTGTTCTACTGTTCTGTTAGCTTAGACTTTCCATTCTCAGTTCTTTTCCGTTAAAGGCACGAGATCAAAAATTGATCGCTTTCGATGGACAAGAACTTTTCACAAGAGGGTTAGTAATCAATCGAAAGCTCAAACCTCTCCCTAGCGCCGTACATGGTCGTTTCACATTTCTCCCTTCCATAGCGCTGTGAGATTCAAAGCAACATTATGTTTCACATTGACCGCTCAATTCAAGTATTACTCCCTTCGCTGGAACAATGAAGACATGAACGTGTAGAGGAAATCCTTAATATCATAATCAGAAGTTCGATCTGTACTTTTTCAAAACGGCGAAATGATTTCCAACCAAATAATAGAAAACGCATTCCACCAAGGCGCCATCGATCGATAATCGAGCCAAACTCTCCCGCCCCAGCCCGAAGTCCGTGAATTGGCCAAACCATACTTGATCGCTTACGTGAATCAATCTTCTTTTTCCTTCTACACTACGCAAAGCCATTTTTGTTAGAAAAAAGCACTGCGTTGAATTCTCCAAATCTTATGCTAACGAATGATTACTAATAGTTCAAAGAAAAAAAACCTCTGTTATGGGAGGAAAGCGCATGTAAAACATAAATGCTTTTCTTTCGTTGAAGCGTTATAGAACGATTTTTTTTTCAAAAAAAAAACTGCCTACATATGGTGCTTACCATAGATTTACACTTTCAAATGGTTACTAACACTCTTCTGGGTAGTTCTTGTTCAGCAAAAGAGATTGCTTTTGAATTACATGCCGTCTAAGGAAAAGTGCTCCTTTTTCACTCTATTTTGCAAAACAAAACCAGCTAATAAATAAACTTAAGCAATCTATGCTTGTGCATGAAAAGTATATGAACGCATGAAGGACATGCTGAACTCTTAGCTTTTTACCCTTCCATAGGAGTTTTTTGAAGCGAAGAAAAAATCTCAAATTCAATAACAAAAGTCACGTGGCACAGTGGAATGCACAGCGCTATCGATAATCAACCGACAATTAGATGCGCGGCACGTGTGAAACTCAATGCCATTTTACTTATTGCACTACAGCTGAAGGGTCTTTTCAGAAAACAAACACGGCATTGGTATCGCCGAAACTTATGATATATATTAATTACTAATGGTCTAACAGATTCTTTCTAGAATACTGGTGCATTTTGGATCTTTCCCAGATTTATGTTATGTAGCAGTTGGTAATTGTTTAGAGGAAGAGCTCTGCCTAGCGAACTATAAATGCGATTACTCAACTCGTGTAAAACACAATTTTGTTTCCTTTGTTATACCTCTGTGAAAGGGCTTTTCTGCAAAACAATAACGTTTTTGAGTGCTCTGACATCTAAACTTTCGGGTTATACTATTAGCGCAGTAGGAAGTCTCTGTCTAGCAAAAGAATTCCTTACAAAGAACCCTGCCCAATGATAGTGGAATTAGCGAATTTTTAAATAACAACGGACATTGTGCCCTTCTGCGGCGGCAATTGCAAGCTGCCCAAAGAGCGATTTATTTGAAATAAGCACAAATTTCGACATTTATTTGAAGGCTTTTTCTCCTTTTCGATAACAATCTTGGTTTCTTGAATTACGTTGATGCTCCAAATTTTTCTACATCCTTTCCAATGTTTTGGTGCACACTTAAAGCTATAACCTGTATCACCTGTCGCTCCTTTGATCGTCGAGTGACTCGAGCGGGTACCAGCAACACTTATTTTTTCCTATCGCATGCAAGAGTAGTCCAGTGGGTTCTCCTCGCCCTAGGGATTCGCTGAGCATCATATCTTTCTTCTATGCCTTTTGTGAAGAAATCGGACCATCGGGTTGGTAGTCTTCCTGTACAGCGTTTGATATTCCAAGGAATTAAGTCGGCAACGGCTCTCACTCATCGGCTGTCGTTGAAGCGCCTCACGTGTCCGGTCCACCTTACTTTCAATATCCTGGCGTGTAGAACGGCGTCTCTGACCATCGATCTTTGACGCAGGTCGGAACTTCGGATCTTTTCTCTCATTTGCGAGATACGGGATAATCCTAGCAGTGACTTTCAACTGCACGTTAAATAACGCAAGTGATCTTTCCGATTATGTGGACATGAGATTTCTGCTGCATAAGTTAGGGCAGGAATAATCGTCGAGTCGAAAAGTTGGGCACGGAGTCCGATGTTCTTTGTTCTCTTCACTAAACCTTCGATGCTCTTAGACGATCCCCATGCCGCTTGTTTCCTCCTGCCGAACTCTGGAGCTAGGTTGTTCATCATGTTGATTTCACGACCTGGATAGACATAACTGGAGCATTCGGAAATTGTCGTTCCGTTGAGCGTTAATGGGGCAATCAAAACCCATCCGATCCTCACCTACACCAAAGAATTTATTTGCAGACCAATCTTTCCACTGGCGTCGTCAAAATCACTCAACATTCGCTCCGCTTGGCTGATGCTTGGTGTGATAAGGACGACATCATCAGCAAATCAAAGATGGTTCAAATGTCGACAGTCAATTTTCACTCCCATTTCGTCCAATTCTAATGTTCGCATGATGTTCTGGAGGGTGACAAGGGATATTTTTGGCGGAATTGTATCGCCGTGTCAAACCCCTCTTCTTATGTCGATAGTGATATTGATGTAGAATGAAGATATTTTGATCGCGAAATCTTTATAAAGCTCACGAAGGATCATTGTGTACCGAGTAGGGACGCCTTGGTTATCCGGAGCCTCCATAACCGCTTCTGTTTCCACTGAATCAAGGGCTTTCTTCAGATCGATGGAAGTGAGACAGAGTGGTTGTTTGTACTCTCGTGAAACTTCAATGAGTCTTGTAATCGTGTGGATGTGGTCTATGGTACTAAATCCTTTTCGAAAGCCTGCTTGTTTGCATGGCTGTCCTTCGTCCAGTGTTCTGTCAATCCTGTTTAGGATGAATCGAGTAAAGAGTTTATAGACAATGGACAGAAAGCAGATGGGGCGATAATTGCCTACGCCGTGGTCTCCATTTTTGAACAACAGCACGGTCTTGCTGGTTTTTTGTTAAATGGAAGCTTTCATTCTGATAAGTAGCGAGTGTAGAGCTGAGCCAGGGTGTTGAGAGAACTGGCGGCAGATTCATCAGGTGTTCTGGTCTAATCCTGTCTGGACCGGGTGTTGTTCTATTCTTCACCGACGATATAGCATGCCGGGTCGGATTTTGGAAGAGAGTACAGGTGGAACGACAGATCCATCTTCTTTTAATTATATAATGGTGAAAGGATATGGCTGAAGAGATTCGAGTAGTATTGGTAGATGGTTTTCTCCACTGCCCTTCTGAAAGCTGTAAGTGTCACGACAGAGCATCGGAGTGCAATCATCTTGGTTACAATTGGCGAAGCCTCGCTGAGCCTTGCGAATGCTTTCCCAGCTTCTGCAGCTTCTGCTATGGCTACTGCTCGTCTCTCTTTGAGGTCATTCTTTATTGCTTTTGTGCTGCGTTTCGCCAGTTACGACGTAAGGTTTCGTCTGCTTGTAGCTAATGCGAGTCCACGTTGACGTATTAGCACGGGTGTCTGCGGAGACAAGTGCCCTTCGTAACTTCAAGACTCTCGGCTTTCATAGCGCTAACGTGAAGATACGCAACGAGCCGGTCGTACTCTTCGTCGATGTTTCCGACAACGGCATCTTTACAAGAGCCGACTAATAATTCAAATACATCCCAGTTTATGGTAGTTCTTGACCTTTGTTGTTTGTAATTATGAAATTAGCGGCTTTCTCTGCTTTGTGCCAATAACAAAACGTTGCGCAAGGAGGCAATAACCTGGTCCCGTGTAGGAAACTTAGGAACAACAGCGAAACCGGTCAAGCAAAGCCTTCGATTTATTAAAATGTGGTCTATATCGTTATGGTACTTTCCATTTGGAGGCTCCCACATCCATCGTTGAGAGTGAGGTTTTGGAATTGTGAGTTACCATGGATGGTTTGGGTCGTCATGATAAACTCAGATAACCTTCCACCCTGTTCAGTTCATTCTAGTCCGTGGGTCCCAATGTGACGTTCTTTAAACGTTCTCCTAGGTTCAGTTTTCGCGTTAAAATCTCCAACAATGACCTTGAAGAGGGTATGGTTTTCTCTAAAGGATTTTTCGACGCCCATATGGAATGCTTCGGCTTCGTCTTCGTGATAGCTTGATGTTGGTGTGTAGCAACGAAGGTGGTTAAAGCGGGCATTGAACCGCATCGTTTCAACCATAGTCGCCCGATACGGGTTGTTACTTGATGAAATGATCGATGTTCACGGTCAGAACGCTAACGCCACCGACACCTCTGCTGTCGGATGATCCAAGAAATAGTTCTTCCCCGGTTATATAGATAGCGTAAAAAAGATAGCGTCTTTGCGTCTCAGCCAGGCCAATGACGTCGTACCTTATCCACGGATCTCTATCTTTGATAGATCCCGCCCGGTTAGTCGCGAGGGTACGTGGCGCGTCCCCGGTG